ATGGGGAGCAGGGGAGGGGTCTTTGGGGCTGTTCTCTGGGAAGCAAAGTCTAGGAGCTTCCATGCCATCTCTACCCCATCCACAGTCCCCCTGGCTCCACGACCACTTTTGCCACTCTCAGAAGGCGGTTCCTGGGCCTCCCCCACCCCACGGGAAGTCTGAGTAGGCACATTTCAGAGCTCAGCCTGGGCTGGCAGCTGACACCTGCAGCCCCCTTGGAGAAACTGTCAGCCACAGAGTGGAGCAGATAGAACCGACCCGACCCCAAACCCATTCTCTTCAAAGGAAGAACTCCATCTTGGGGTGGGCCTGTGCGGGGGACCCTTAGCTCCTTGCTCTCCTCCTTTGAAGAAAAGATAGCAGCAGGGGGCTCAGGCCTGAACCCTAACATCTCTACGTGATGGGGGAGGTGGGCAGGGAAATTTCTGGACCTGCAGAGGCTCCTCCTCTGGAACTGAGATCAGGTCAGGAGTAGGGGAGTCACTGGCAAACCCGACTCCAGGGCTGGATATGTGCAGTATGGCTTCCTGCCTCACACACTTGACTTGCCAAGGCCCTGGACCTCACTTGGCTTCTAGAACTTCTAGAGAGTGGACAAGAAAAGAGGGCTGGGGATGGAGATGCTCAGAGATGCCCCTTCCCCTCTCTTTCTGGCACTGCCCCTTACTCTGATGGCCAGGCTGCAAATGGCCCCCAGTGACTCCTGTCTCCCCCAGTTCACACCCTTGGATTGTACCCTCCTGCTTGAACCAGAGTGGTCTGTGTGACTAATAGAATGGGGCAGAAATGATGATATGTTGCTTTCAAGATCAAATCTAATCTTGAAATAAAGATGTGGTAGCTTTTGTCTTGTCCACGCTGTCCGTCTGGGGAAGCCAGTGGCTGTGTGGTGGTATGAGAGGCCCCATAAAGATGCCCACACAGGGAGGAGCTCAGGCCTCTGGCTGACGGTCACCGGAGTGAGGCAGACCCTCCAGCCCCAGCCCAGCCTTCAGATGGCTGCAGGCCTGGCCCATGCCTCAGCAGCAATCTCATGAGCAGCCCTGTGCCAGAACTACTCAGCAAGATTGCTCCTGGTATTCCTCATTGTATGAGACAATGTTTATTATGATGATTATTATCCTTTTTAGAGACAGGGTCTCACTCTTTCACTCAGGCTGGAGTGCAATGGCACAGTCATGGCTCACTACAGCCTGGAAATTCTGGGCTCAGTGACTCTCCTCCCTCAGCCTCCTGAATAACTAGGACCACAGGTGCACACCACCATGCCCAGCTCATTTTTAAATTCAAAACGTAAAAAAAAAATTGTAGGCCAGGCACAGTGGCTTGGGCCTGTAGTTCCAGCACGTTGGGAGGCCAAGGCGGACAGATCACCTGAGGTCAGGAGCTCAAGACCAGCCTGGCCAACACGGCGAAACCCCAACTGTACTAAAAATACAAAATTAGCCAGACATGGTGGCACACGCCTATAGTTGGGAGGCTGAGAAAGGAGAATTGCATGAACCTGTGAGGCAGAGGTTTCGGTGAGCCGAGATCGAGCCACTGCACTCCAGCCTGGGCAACAAAAGCAAAACTCTGTCTCCAAAATAATTAATTAATTAATTAATTAATTAAAATAAAAGAATGTGAAGGTTAGCTGGGTGTGGTGGCAGGCGTCTTTATGGGGCCTCTCACAACACAACTCAGGAACTGCTTGCCCCAGAGGGACGGCGTGGACACAACGAAAGCTACCACATCTTTATTTCAAGATTAGATCTGAGCTTGAAAGCAACATATCATCATTTCTGCCCCATTCTGTGAGTCACATAGACCACCCTGGTTCAAGCAGGGGGCGCAATGCAAGGGTGTGAACTGGGGGAGACAGGAGTCACTGGGGACCACTCAGGAGGCTGAGGCAGGAGAATCTCTTGAACCTGGGGGGTGGCTGTTGCAATGAGCCGAGATCAAGCCACTGCACTCTAGCCTGGGCGACAGAGTAAGACTCAGTCTCAAAAAAAAAAATAATTGTACAATGTGATCTCACTAAGTTACCCAGGCTGGTCTCAAACTCCTGGCCTCTAGCAATCCTTCTGCCTCAGTCTCCCAAAGTGTTGGGATTATGGACATGAGCCACCACACCCAGCTTATTATTTTAAATCACTAAGTTTTGGGGTGATTTGTTTGTTATACACCAATAGATAAGTCACCCACTTCCCTCCCTTCTTAATAAGGAGCTGAGATGTTTCTCACCCACCCACCCACTGAAGCTCCCTAAGCTCCTGCCTCCTGTTGCTCCTTCCCCTCCAGGACCCCAGCCTGGAACACTGGTTTACAGATCAACTTGGAGATGCCAGACTAATTAATCAAGCTCCTTAGGGGACCTTGGAGGACAGGAAAAGGGCTGGAGGTTATCCTGCCAGACTGAGAGTGGGGGGGCTGTAGGAAAAGGAGTGGAAGCAGGAATGTCACCCTTAGGAGCGACCCCACAGAGAAGCACTCACGGAATGCAGCCCACAAGCGTCTTCCTTCGCCCTTTGCTTTTCTCTAAGGGGTAAAGGAAAAAGGACACCCTTCATTCTAATTCTGTCCCCTCCCTGTCCCCTTTATGAAAGAGCATGGGGAAGTCCCCACATAGGCCTCAGTGAATCTCTGATGACTACTCTCATAAGCCCAAAGGGCATAGAATGTTAGCTAGTAGAAAGGAAAAATGCCACCCACAGAACTTTCCAGGAAACCCCTGCCCTATTAAAATATCAGGGCTCCCACTAAGGCTGTGGGGAGCAGCGTCCTGGGACAGAGCTTAGGAGTCTCCGAACAGCAGTGAAGAGTGGGAACGATGCTTTGGAGGCTTCTTACTTTTTGTTTTTGAGACAGGGTCTCCCTCTCTCACCCAGGCTGGAGTGTAGTGGCACAATTATGGCTCACTGCAACCTCAACCTTCTGGACTTAAGTGATCCTCCCACCTCAGCCTCCCAAATAGCCGGGATCATGGGGACGGGAGTGCCAGTATGCCCAACTAACTTTTTTTTTTTTTTTTTAGAGATGAGGTTTCACTACGCTGCCCGGGTTCGTCTTGAACTCCTGGGCTCAAGAGATCCTTCTGTCTTGGCCTCCCAAAGTGCTGGGATTACAGGCATGAGCCATGACACCTGGCCTGGAGGCTTCTAAAGGGACTTCACGACTTCCTCTTGCAGTGTGATCATCTCTGGCAGGGCCAGAGCTTCCTCCTTCCTGTGCCACTGTTTCTCTGCCAGTGACAAGGCAAGAGTCACCACCATCCTGAGGCTCAGAACCTCAGATTGCTGTAAATAGTTCATTGTTCAGGCTTCAGAGGGTGCCACCTCTCCCTAAGGCTCTGCACAAAACAAAGATGTCACCCTCTCCATCCTCTGTCTCCAATGAGTGACTATGGTGTCTCTGCAGGGACATGTCCTCAGGTCTGCCTTTTTGAGTCTTTTTGCACCCGGCACACAGACCCAATGGGACACCACCCACACATGCCACCATGTCCCCCCTGTTCCAGCAGCCTCGCTCCCACTCACCCACTCACTTTCAATATTTTGTTCTCCTGGATGGGGTTAAAGTCCCCTGACAGAGCTGTCAGTGGCCAAAGTCCGGGGCCACACACCCACTGGAGGCCGAGGTCTCTGTCTCATGCCAGACTCGAGGGTGCCATGTGCTGAGGCCGTGTGTAATCTGCTGAGAGGACCATTGACATGGCCCAGGTGAATGTTCCAAGAGAGACAGACAGAGAGGGGCGCAGGCAGACTTGGAGTCTTCGACATCATTCTTAGCATGACCAGAGCAAGTCTGCTTTCTCCTTCACTAATGGGTAATCAGGCAAGCACGCCACACATGCAGAGCACGTCACAGCTTCCAAAGCCCTTTATTATCCAGCATTCACGACAACCCTTTTGGTGGGTTATGATCATTGTCCCATTTAATAGGTGAGGAAACTGAGGCTCAAGGAGATTGAGCACAGTCACATCAGCAAAACTGGAATGAGAAGCCGGGGATCCTGACTCCCACCGCTGCAGCCGCCTTGCTGGCTGTTTGGCTTCACGAATAGGCCTTTGTTCACCGCCTTCCCCTTTGTCAGGCATAGATTACACCCTGGCCAGGGCCAGCCAGGGCTGTGTCTCCTGAGACATGCATTGTTCAGTTCCTCTCCTGAAGGGTGCATAGGACATGTGACAGTCACTGGCGCACACTCATATGCTGCACATAGAGCGTGCACACTACAAAGGCAGTGCCTGCAGACGCAGCAATCTGTGCCCGCCTGGTCCACTGCACTGTTGGACTCCTCAGGCCTGCCGCAGCCGGCCGAGTGACCTCCGCTGGGTGTGACAAGCAGTAACCACTGGGTGGCAGTGTGTTCTCATGCCTGGGACCAGAAAAGCTGCCAAGGGCTGAGGAACGCGGAGGGTGGGGCAGAGGTAGGAGCCCCAGCCGGCTGCCCAGGGAGGTTTCCAGACCGGATCTCCTGGAAGACTTGACAAGGCAGTCCTCTGCGCGCGCGCGCGCGCGTGAGTGTGTGTGTGTGTGCGCGCGCGCGTGCGTGTGTGTGTGTGCATGTGTGTGTGCACGTGCGCGCCAGCATATGTGCGCATCTGCAGCAGCCGGAGGGCCAAGGACGAGTGCTGAAGTGCAGCTGAGTGCGGGGTGGGGTGGACCCAAAGGACAAAAATATCAAGGAAACCAGGGCAGCCAGCGCACGGTGGGTGGAAGGTGGGTGGAAGGACGGCGGAGAGGGCTGCGGAGGCAAGGGGCAAGGACTTTTTGGAGGGAGCTTCAGGAAAATGATTACCCGGTGTTGGGGGGGGAGAGTAGAGAAAGAGAGAGAGAGGGAGAGAGAGAGCGCAAGAGAGAGAGACCAAGAAAGCAGCCAGAAACAGAAAAGGGGAAGGTGAGGGAGACTGGCTTGGGAAAGTAGGTTAGGAGGCTAGGGTGGGAGAAGGGAGCCCCCAGAGGCTGGGGAGAGACGGGAACCTTCACTTGGACAAGAAAGGGCCAGACAGGCGTGCTGCTAACAGGGAGTTTATTTGGACTGAGCTGCTGAGATCCGCTGGCTGCCTCAGCTCCAGGTCAGAGCTGCTCGGGCTCGGGCTCGGGCTCGGGCTCCGGCTCCCGCTCCGGCTCCGGCTCCGGCTCCGGCTCCGGCTCGGGTTCTTGCTCCAGCTCCTCTATCTTGCTCTGAGCCTGCGGAGGGTGAATCCCTTGCTCTAAGGCAGAAAATCTTCTAGGTCGCAACTGTGAGAAGTCACAGAGAGAGAGATGGAGGGTGGAAGGAGAAGGATGAAGGGAAAAGGATTAGGAAGGACACCGAATACATCTATTTTTTCTCAGCCACCCTGCTCTCCCCATCTCTCAACCCCCCTTAAAGCCTCCCCAGGCACAAACCGTCCCTGGAGTGAGAGGCTTATGAAGAAGGGGGGCCCTGAGGGCATGTTCAGGGTCCCCTTTGGTTGCCTTCCTGAGGAAGGGGTGCCATCAGCACTCAGGATGGAAGAGCAGGAGCTGCTGGGGTGGGGGGTGGCACGTCCCTGGCTCACCTGTCTTCTCCAATGGTGAAAGCCAAAGGCTCCAGTCACCAAAAGGAGCAGAGAGAGGATACCAAGGATGAGAAGCAGCGGGAGGTGGCCTGCGTGGAGGGCGCCTGGGGCTCTCCCGGAGCGTTGGGCACCTATGGAGAAAGCACAGGATAAGGCATAGGTTCAGGGCTGGAAAGGATATTTTGTCACTCACTCAGACTTTACAGATGCAATGAGATCCAGAGAGTTTAAGTGACTTGTCCCAGGGTCATTTAGCTAATTAGTGGCAGAAACCGGTCCACCCTGGGCAAGAGCCAGAGGTCAGGTCTCCGACAGGAAAGAAGGGGCTCTTCTGGAAGGGGATAAAGGTCATTGCTGTGGCGTTGGGGTCCTGGCATTTTGGGGCCTCAGACCTGGGCTAGACAGCTCTGTGAAGTATACTGCTACTCCAAGAAGCCTCTCCCCTTGGTAAAGCTGGCATTGCCAGAGCTGGGAAAGGAGCTGGGCGTCCTGTGCCTCCAGCCAGGGTCCTGGGAAACTCCTCTGGGATGGTGCGTCCAGGGGGCTCCACACAAAACGTTCTTGTCCAGATGCTGGAGTCACCTCACAAAGCAGCTTCCCCAGGGAGCCAGGTGACCCAAAGGATTTGGGAGTCACTGAAAAGAGAAGGAAGAGATCTTTTGGGGTTCTGGCCCCCTTATGTGATACCACAGGTTCAACCCCAGCTCTCAATCGCCCTGTGTTCACTTGGGTTCTGACCAGGTGAGGTTGGCAGATGGCATCAGGGGTCATGGCCACATTCATCTTTTTCTTTCTATTTAATTTTTTATTAAATTGTATAGAGATGGGGTTTCACCATGTTGCCCAGGCTAGTCTAGAACTCCTGGACTCAAGTGGTCCTCCTGCCTCAGCCTCTCAAAGTACTGGGATTACAGGCGTGAGCCACCATGCCCCGCCGGCCACATTTATCTTAACCAGACAATGCTCTGCTCTAGTCAGCTCCCTCCCCTGCTCAAAACATTTCCAGGCTCCCTACTGCCTTTACACTCAAACTGGTCCTGGCAGATCAACACAGAAGAAATACTATTACATATTCTTTTACATTGCTTTCTACTGAAATGCTCAGAACCCTCAGAATCAGTCAGAGGAGTTGACCCCCCCATCTACTTCACAATTTTGCAACTTCCATGATATGGCTCCCATCAGTGTCTCCTGCCTTGTGGTGCCCCCTGAATGAACACCATCCCCCTTCCTGAATGTGTAAAGAACAGGGAACTGACCCATTCATCTTTACATTCTCAAGTTGTAAAGTGAGGGGGGGGTGGAAGGAGACAAAGGGTGGAGGGCATCTGAGTAGCATCCTGGGGAATGATTTGGTGATGCAGACACCTGAGTTTGAACCCTGAGTCTGGCGCTTCCCAGCTGTGTGACTTTGAGAAAGTCTTCAGGGGTAACAGTATCTCTCTCATGGAGCTGTCTACATAGAACAGTTGACCTTCAAGAAGATATTGGACAGAAAGAACTGGTGGACTTTGGTGACTGATGGGATGTGAGGAGGAGTAGGCCAGGTTTCGAAGTGGGTGGATACCAGGGGATTAATGACAGGCTGAGTCAGCAAGGGGATTGGTGGGAGAAAAGGATGGGGCTCTGGGTGAGGCAGCTGAGAAGCGGTATAGTATCTAGGTAGAGGTGTCCGGAAAGCAAGCGAAAACTCAGAACTGGCCTTCAGAAGATGTATTATCTATTAGCATGTTCACATATTCATTCAACCTCTACATATTATTAAGCACCTACTGTGGGGTGCTACTACTTAGTGGCCGAAGGTGGGTGCTGCAGATGAGGCTAACCTGTCATGGCTGATAGTTATCAACCAGTGAATACATTCTGAGTATTCTTTTTTCTTTATTTGTTTTGTACTGTCTTGGAAAACCCTTGCTCAGTAAATATTTCCTGACCAAGGGACGGATTTATTAACTCCTCCCAAATCCAAGCCACTTCCTGCAACTTTAACCCAAGCCCTGGCCGCAAAGTAGCCAAGGATTCTAGAAATATATTCTACCTCTTTTGAATCATTCGAAATTTTTTTTGTCACCTTTCCTTCTAACTTCCCAGACCCTCCCGCCAGTTCAGAGCAGGGGAGTCCCGTAGAGAATGGTGGAACTTTATCTTGTGACTCAAGAGGAGATTTTCAGTTTCGGTTCTTTTATTATGGGGGTGAGAAAAGTGGGGGCCGAGGTGGGCAGGCTCTGGAACTTGTGCCCAGTGGCCTGGCTTCATGGCGTGGATTTGCCCAGTCTTTCCCCAGCCAGCCCTTCCTCTCTCTCCTTTCTCCCCCGGGAGGGGAGCTCCTCCTTTCCCACCTGAGGCTGACCTGTGATGACTGCGAGTGTGACAGTGGCACTGAGCTGCTCTCCCTGCAGACAGATGTAGCAGGTGTAGGTCCCAGCCTGGGCCTGGCTCACATCCTCTAGTAGAAGGGTAAAGTTGCCATTGTCTCCAGCCACCAGGAGGTCAGGGCCTCCTCCAGGAGGAGCCCACTTGGCAGTGAGGAAAGACTGGGTCCCCACACCAGGAGGCAGGCGGCAGGGCAGCTCCACCCTGGAACCTGCTCCAGCGTACACTATCAAGGGAGTTGGGGGCTCCAGACCTGAAGAGAAAAGAAAACCCGAAGTTAAAGCTGGGGCTGCAAGGAGGGGAGTGCTGGGGCTGCAAGGGAGGGAGTGCTGGGGCTGCAATGGGGAGGGAGTGCTGGGGCTGCAAGGGAGGGAGTGCTGGGGCTGCAATGGGGAGGGAGTGCTGGGGCTGCAAGGGAGGGAGGCAGAAGAGTACAGGAGATGGTCTGGCTCATAAGAGTGCTAAGGAGCAGCATAAGGTGATGACCCGAGGATGGTCAGAAACCCAGCAAGTGGGCTTAGCCAGGAGTGAGGAGGCTGGCAGTGACGCTGGAAGGCCAAGGGGGAAGCTAGAAGGGGTGACCAAGCTGCAAGGCTGCCACGCAATATAAAGGGGTTGAACGTGAGGCCCACAGCAATGACGTGGGCCACTGCCAAGAACCTGGTTTAGGGACCCATAAGTCAGGGGAGGTGGAAAGGGGGGCAGGAAGGGGTTGTGGTCAAGTGTGAAGCAGAGTGGGGTAGTTACCCAGAACAGTGAGGTTGTACACGATGGAGACATTGAAGCCATCTCTGTAGGTGAGGGTGCAGCCCCAGGGCCCAGAGTCCATAGGGCTGACTTGGGGCAGGAAGAGGAAGCTTTCGGCTAAGTGGTGATGGGGGGACTCCTGGACAGGGACTCGGCCCTGGCCCCCGCCCCGGAACCATTGCACAGAGGCTGGGCGGTCAGGGCGGCTGAAGGAACAATTCAAAATGACCCAGTCGGAGGTCCTGAGAGACCCTGCGGGGCTGGCAGTCACTGTGCAAGGATAAAGAACACTTGATCAGCAGCACACCGGAAACAAGTTCCCCACACAGCAGGACTGCCAAGCTAGAAGCTCGGAGGAACAGGGACCCGGCTTTAGACCTGTCTTCTCCTCTTCCCGATCACCCTCTCCCCAGCTCAGCTCCCAGCACCTGGAGGTGCATAAACTGGATCTTTCCCCTGTCCTCCTGTCCCCTGCCTGGAGTTTACTTGGCATAGGCCACCCTTCCGGTTCTCCCTGCCTGGATCCCCTCGAAGCCCACCTCTGAGCTGCAGATGTCTAAAATGAATCACTCTAGACCCACGCTCCCCCCCCTCCCATAGGGCACTCCCGCGTGGGTGGGAGAAGGTGAGCTCAGGGGGTGACACAATCTCTCCACAGGGCCCCCCATACACGTGCTTGGGGGGCGCCTTTCACTCCAGCAGGCCTCCCCCACCCCCTTCCTCTACTCTTCTGAAAGCTCTCGTTCCTGGGTTAGGGCGCGCAGCTCTGCCCCAGCCCTTCCTGCCTCCCGGGCGGCGGGGAATGGGGGCCCCCTCCACAGCCCCTCTCCGGTATCCCGCCCCACCTACTCGAGGCCTGGCCCACGCGCAGACGGAGGCGGCAGGAGAGGGTGCGGTCCCTGAGGTGCACCGCGGCGCGGTACTCGCCGGCGTCAGCGCGCCGGGCTGGGCGCAGCCACAGCGAGAAGTCCCCGCGCTGCCGGCCGCGCTCCTCCAGCTGGACCCGGGGCTGCAGGGGCAGCCTCCCGCTGCGCAGGCCTCCGGGAGCCACGCTCAGCACCGTGTAGCGGCGGGGCCCCGGCCTCCTAGAGGAGGGCGCCGCCGGGCGAGGGCCGGGGGCCGGGGGATGGCCGGGGACCGGAGCGGGCGCACTGGGCAGGAAAGAGAATCGGAGTTGAGAAGCTCCAGGGCTTGGAAGCCCCGGAGGATGCAGGCAGCCACGGGATGAGGCTGAGGAAACCCGCCCCAAGATGCCCCCCCTCCCCCGACCCCTCTGTGACACTGGCACCATCCCTTTCTGGAGAGAAGGAATGCAGGTCTGAGGGGCGCTGTTTGCAGGACAAGGGCAGGAAAGGTGCGGGCGAGGGCAGGGAGACTGGGTCACTGGCTTCAAAGGGAGCGACACCTCAGGGCAGGGGAAAGACAACCGGCATGGGTGTTGGGTTGTGAGTGCTGGATTCAGGGGTCCTGTTGCCCGTTTGGGGTGCATACCTGTCTGGTTGATGCTGCCAAGTGACCCCTCCTCTTCGAAGAAGGCTGAGATCCTGGAGGGGGATTGTGGGGCTGCAGGGGAGCTGGGCAGGAGCCCCCTCCTGGGCCCATACCTCCGAGACCTCAGCCCCTGGCTGAGGAGGCTTCACTAGGTGAGCAAAAGAGAGGCCGAGGCGAGGGGGCGTGAGCCGAGAGACAGGGGGAGAGAAGGAGCCTGAGTGTTTCCCCTGGGAGAAGGAGCTTGGGTTTCCCTCTCTTCTCTGCCAAGAGAGGCTTTGGGGATGGTAGGACTGCCCAAGAAAAGGATTAGAAGGATCCATCACAGAGCTAAGGACTGCAGGACCTTTGTGGCCACAGAGATCCCCGCTGGTCCCCTCCTGTGGGGCTGAAAGGCAACCCTCCCGCCATCCCCGCTTTCCACTTTACCTGGAGCCACCCACAGTGGCTGCAGAAACAGCAAGCCCAGGAACTGAGCCTCCCACATCTCTCCTATGGCCTGGGCAGCGCTGAGCCCTCCAAACGGAGGTCCGAGAAGGAAGGGGGTGTGGGGGGGGTGGGGAAAGGAGAAGTTCTGCAGAGAGAGAGGTGGAGGAAGGCGATCTAGAGGAAGACTGGGAGGGGCCTTGGAGAGAGGATGACCAGAGGCCAGAAGCCAGGGAAAGCTGGGCAGATCAGGCCACCTGAGGGGAAGTGGGGGTCCCAGGGAGCAGGGCAGGGCTGTGGCAGAGAGCAGACAGAGCAAGGTGGCTGATGAGGCTGGGATGCCGTTCTGCTGGTCCCCCAGCCCTCACCCCTGTCCCCAGCCTTCCCTCCACCTTCCCCACTTCCCCTCCTCCTGGCCCGCCCCCCGCACCCCAAGGCTCACGGTTTCACTTCGCAGTGGAAAGTCTGAGGGGGTTGATTCCCAGCAGCATTACCCTCCACTTCTGTGGTGGCACTCCCCTTGTTTACTTCCTCAGACCTGGGTCTCCCCACCTCCCCCTCATCACCCCGTCCTACCCTCCAGACTGCTCCCTCTCCCAAGGACCGACTGCCTCCAAGCACTGTTTCTCTCTGGAACTGCCCCCTTGCCCATCTCTAAGCTGCCTCTTCAGCCCCAATATTCATACTTCCTTCTTGGCAAGCTCTTTCCTTGGTGCTTCATCTCCTCCCTCTTTCTCTTAACCTCCCAGAACTTCATGACCCTTTAGATCTACCTTTCCACCATCAGTACAATGGCTCCTGGGAACACAGTGGACAGGAAGCTTTATTGCACCCTAAAAGATGGTAGGTCTGAGGCTGAGCATGCCAGCTTTGTAGGGTGTGGAGAGTAACTACATTGTATTGAGCCTTCATTATGTGTTAATCACTGTATTGGACACTTTACTTACAGTAATTCAAAAAATCTAATATTTTCCCCCATTGTACAGATGAGGAAACTGAGACTCAAAGAGATCCAACAATTTGCCAAAGTTAGGGAGTGTGAAAATGAAAGCTACGTGTATGTATGAGGGTGTGTAGTCCTGACCTTGGATGGGTTATGGGTGTCTCCTGGGAGGAATGATGCTTTTGATGAGTCAACATCCTTTCCCACCCCACTCCAGCTCAGACCCCCATGCACTCAGAAGCATCTCCCAATCGAGATTCCGAACTGAGAGGACAAGAGTCATGTGGAGATAGAAAAATGCAGAATCTTAGAAATCTCCAAGATCAAACTGAGGGGAAACAGAGGCAGTGGGACTAGGGAAGGCCTGAGACTGACCTTCCTGCTCCCTAGCCCAGCCCAGGGAGAGTTGGAGGGCAGGTGAAGAAACTTACAGCTGACCTGGGAATGACACGAAGTCCAGGATTTCCCTGCTTCACTGGAAAGAGCTTGCTTCCATGCCAGCCAGAGGGCATCTTTGATGCCAGCAGCTCACTCCAGATCCTAGGAGGCTGAGACCCAGGACTACCGGCCCTCTCCCAGCTCAGGGGCAGGACTTCCTGTTTCTGGGCTGTTTCTCTGTGCCTGGTTCAGCACAATAGAGCTGGTAGCTTTCCACTGGGCTCAGCAGTGTCTAGGTCTTGTGTGGGTTAGCAGGGAAGTGTGTATTGCTGGGGAGGAGCATCCCTGAGAATCCAAAACAGGACATAAGTCAGCTCTCAGAAGAGCTGGGCTCCAGGCCACCCCTCAAGGGCTGATCTTGTCTTCTTGAGTCGTGGGTGGTGGGAGTGTGCTGCTGCTTTTGTATCAAAGGGAAGTGTCCTGGCACAATGTGAGGTCAGCCACCCTTCTCCCTCTCTACCCTTCCATCACACTGAATGGATCCCCGGGAAAGCAGGAGACAGGTTAAAAACAGAAGCGCGACCATTTCTTTATTAAATTATACAAAAAAGGGAGGGGAGGGGGGCAGCTGTGGGGCTCGGCCCCAACCCCGGCCCCACCCAGGCCTGGCGCTGTCTGAGAAGAGGGGATCTGAGGGAGATCCAGGGGTCAGGCAGGATAGGGATGGGGCAGGCCATGAGGCTGGGGGATGCAGAGGTTAGGTGGGAGAGGCTACCAGAGGAAGGACAGGGCTGGGAGGGGAAGGAGAAAGAGCAAAGAGAGAGGAGCAATTGGGGGCCAGCTGGGGAGCTCAGATGGAGCAGGTCAGGAGGTGGAACAATGGCAGAGTGAGGGTGGAGGGGGCAGTGTCTGGGAGGCGGAAATGAGAAGGCTGGGGAGAAAGAAGAGGGTGGCAGCTCTGGTGCAGGGCCCAGAGCAGGGAGCCAGGTGAAGAGTGGCTGGACTTGTCTGCCCCCACCCCCACCTCCAGGCCCAAAGAGGCCTCCCACCCCCAGCCTGTTGGCAGGGGCTCACGCCGATGCCCCATTTTCTGTCTTCTGCCGCTTGGGATCCGCTTCATCCTGTGGAGAGGGAGAGAATGGGGGAGCTGTAAAATGGGAGGGGAGACCTCCCCCTGTCCCGGTCCTGTTCCAGCCCCCACCCCTGCCGCACAGGGACCTGGGTCCAAATCCAAAGGGCGCCCGGCCCGGCTGCATCCCTGACAGCCCCTCAGGCCCAGCAACCCAGCCCAAACCTCCTCTTCGGCAGCTCTCTTCAGCGTGGGCCCTTCGTCATCCTCTTCTTCTTCTTCCTCATCTGAGGAGCCAGAAATGGGTCATTGGGGAAGGGCAGGAAGCTCCGGCAGAGACCCCCTGTGGTCGCCCTCAGCCCTGCCTCAGGTCTGCAAACCCACCCTGACTCTGCTCCTTTGAGCCTGGATTTTGCCAGCCTGGCCCCCCCCTGCCCCTCCCCACCTTCTTCTTCCCCTTCATCTTCCTCCTCTCCATCCTCAGCAGTCTCTTCTTCTTCCTCCTCAGCCCCGTTCTCCTCCTCCTGTGGGGACCAGGAGAGGGAGCAACCTCAGGCTGGCTTCGTGCCTCACCCACCATCACCGCCAATGGGACGGGGCACTGGGTGGTAAAAGGACTTCGGAGGGGCCTCAGGGTGGGGCAGCAAAGATGGGAGGGCTGGAGTGAAGGGCAGGACCCAGCAGCCTCAGAAGGAAAGTGGAAGAAGGATGAGATGATTGGGAGGGAAGATGGTGGGGCAGGTGTGCTCCTCCCCCCCACCCCTCCACACCTCCACCACTTCTTTCTTTCGCTCTTTCCGGCTTGCCTTCTCCTCCACCTTCTCCTTCTTCTCCTTCAGGTCCTGAAAGGGAGAAAGAGGTCACCTTTCTCACCACAAATGGCTTGCAACCCCTAAGTCCCTGCAGCCCCAGTTCTCCCTCTGCAGTGAGCTTAGAAGTGTGTGAAATGAAGGTGGACACAGCTTAGAGACAGACAGGGGCCCCAGGGTCCTTACATTAGGGCCACCAAGAGACTGAGACCAAACACCTCCTTCGTGAAGACCCAAGGTGGGCTGGGAAAGGGATGAAGGGGGAGCAGGCAACCAGGGTAATGATCCCCACCCCACCCCCAAGTTCTCCCAAACCTCACTGGCTGAAGAGTTCAGCTCAGCAAAGCAAATCCTCTCCATCTGCTGGCAGCCTCAGTGCCCCACCCCCTCCCGCGTCCGCCTCCTTTGCCTGCCCCCCCACTGCCGGCCCAGCTCTGCCTTTTGTCTACCTCTGGGGCCTTTTCCTGAGGACTCTCTCCAGGGCATCCCTCCCAGCTTCCCCTTCAGCTTCTAAGATCTTTGTTTCTCTAGGTCTGTGTCTCCCTAATCCTCAGGCCCCTACTTGGCCAAACACTACTGGAGACGGAGAGCACCTTAGCACATTCCCAGCACCCCTCCCACTTTCTGCCCTCCCCACCCCAAAACAGTTCAAGTAGTTCCCTCCTCCCTGTTTCCCATGGTGTACGCATGGGTGTAGTGGAAGAGTGGAGGTGGCCATTTCCAGTGGAAATGTAGGTGAAGAAGGAGAGAAAACAAGGAAGGGAAGAGCAGCAGGCGTGGGAGACAAGGAGAGAGCAACAAACAAGGTCTGTGACTGGGGTGGGACAGGAATGGAGAAGAGGGAGGGACCTGTCTCGTAGACCCTCCCACCAGCCGGCCCCTCTCCATCACCCCAAGATCCTAGCAGCCATAGGTTGATGTCCTGTTCTGATACGGCAGCGGGAGATGCCCATGTGAGTCCCTTCTGGACACTACACTAGCCTCCCAATTCAGATTCCAGTCCTCTCCCCACCCACTTCTTGGTAGGCACAGTGTAACACGGTAGGTGTCCTTGTGTGATCTGATCTGGTGTTGGTGTGCCATGCTGTGTATCTGATTCCTGTGAATGAAAGACTCCTGTGTGAGTGGATCACCCTGGGAGAGGGGGTCCTTTCTGGAACAGGAGAGGGGATAGGAGAGGGGCTTGGTGCAGAACGGCTGCTGGCCTGGGGGGCACCCAATTCCCTTTTCCCTTTAAGGGTAGCTCAGAACACTTCACCTTCACTCTAGCAAGGTTGCCCTTCCACCCGCCATGAGGTCTTCATTTCTGTGCCACAAGGTCAGTATGGCATTTCCACCACCTCGTGGGCTTTTCCCAACATCTTGGGCCAGGAGAGCAAGGAGCTGGTCAACTTTTCTAGGGGCCCCAGCACCAAGTCTGTATGGCCCTGGCCTGACTTTCCCATCTGGGCTGATGGAGGGAGGGAGGGAGAATACCAGAGACCAAAGTTCAAGGGGCCGGGCCCTCTCCTCCCCTGTTCTGTCCTTCTGGTCACTGTCCTTCTATGATCCCTTTTCCAGGAGAATATGTGACCTGGGCCCCAGGTCTTCTGCTAAGCGGCCCTGTGGCCTCATTTACTCAGCACAGGCACACACACCGACACCGGCCGACAGCGATGCACAGACACAGCTAGAGAGGAGCACCCACGCGATGGGAGACACATGGCCCAGCGTTGGGCCATTCTGGTACACACTCTTGAGACAGCACGGGAGCGCAGCAGCACCACTCAGCACTCACAAAGCGACAACATGGCTCCAGAACATCTACGTCTCCACATGCACACATGTAACTGACACGGGCAGTCCCACACACTCGCTGGATTTCAGACATACAAAGACACCTACTCAGTGAAGTCACATGCCACCGCACAGCCCGCCGGAGGGCCACACGGGCGCACCTTGGCAGACAGCACACATAGCCCCTCTCCCACCGCCGTTAATCCCCCTGGCTCCCCCCGTTTCACTTCGCAGGCCTCAGGGAGACCTGTGTGGCGGCTCCTCAGCAACCCCCCACCCCCATGCACACACAAGATAGGGCTCCCAGCCCCCAAACCCCGGCCGAGTTAATTTCCCAAAGCGACACTCTGCATGTTCCCTGGGGAAATTAGAGGAAGGCTGGA